AGCATGTTTCTGAGCTCATCTATTTTTTTTATCTGTTTCTGTTCTAGATCCTCTAATCATGTCTTTCACTCTGCGCACCATCTCTGCAGATATCTGGGAGATTATTTCTGCTTTGAATTTTTCTAGAGCCTCATTCATCTGCTTAGTTACTTCCTGTGCTATCAGTTCAGGGTATCCAGGTGGTTGGTTATGCAACTTTTCCATCTCATTTCCCCCAGATTTACCCTTGGTGGTATGGAAGTCTGAGTTTGTGCCTTCCTTAAATGTCTTCTCATTTTTGTTTTTGGTACTGTCCTTGGTTTAACTCCTGGGTTGAGAGTTTGAAATTGCTTATCGTAGGTATCTTTGTTGCTTGTAATTAGAACCCTTATCAAATGATTGCATCTCAGAGGTGTCTTCCAGATATAGCTGGTCTTTAAGTTTTGAGTCTCTAATGACTCTAAGGCTATCTCATTTTCCTTGTACTAGGAAGGTTCATTGACTAGATCAATAACAACATCTTAGCCCAAGTGATACAATCAGCAACACCAATGCATCATGCATCAAGTACATCTTCGAAAATGACATTTTGTGGTAGTTATTAATCTATCACCTTTAGCTGTGTGAATTAAATCAAGATCAAGGACCAACCCAACATATAGTGAATAAACTCTTCAATATAACAACTTTACCCTTTGGGATGGGGAGTTAGAAGGGGTTGGGGAGGGAGGGACAGATGGGAAGAAGGATAGGGGAAGGTTAGCAGTGTGGCCAGAGGACACAGGTGAGAAGGAAAAAGAGAATAATAGGGAAATAGAGAAGAACTCTGAATGAGGATCAAAACAGGGACAAAAAGGGAAGATGAACAATGTGGGAGAGCAAAGAGAGTGAGTGTAAGAGAGAGAGAAAGGAAAGAGAAAAGAAAGAAGAAAAGAAAAGAAAAAAAGGAGAGAAAAACAAGTATTTGCAAAGAGTAGGAAAAAAATTAAAGATAAGAGGAGCAAAAGAAAAGAGAATAAAATAAACTAATAATGCTAATTTTGGGAATAAAAAATAACAATGAAGACGAAGGGCCTCTTTCAGGATGTGTCTCTGCTATCACAATAGACAACGTGGGTTGCAGTGTGCAGATATAAGTCAATGAGTCTCAGCAAGCTAGTCACAGACCCGTGAGATTCAGGCAGATTTCTGGCTGCAAGTCCCAAGTGGAGCTCCCCGTCCTCCTGTAGGGTTGAACTCTGCAGAGTTGTATTGCAGATTCCAACTGCCCTTCCCCTGAAGATAGTCCCGGTCCTGATAGGAGGTGAAGATGACTCCAACTTACTCAGTACAGTGGTCTGGTGTTCTGGTGTTCTCTGCATCTTTGTAGTGTGGAACCAGGGGGCTGTACAGAAAGAGGCCAGAGGAGCGGGTGGGTGGTGGTGGTGGTGTCCGTGGATTGCTGCCAGGGTGAGGGCTGATTCGTCGCGTTCCGCGGGACTCGCGACTTTGGTATGGAGTCCCTTTTCAACTTTTTTATTCTTACCTCTTTTGTTTCTTACTTTGTGTATATTTGCATATCTTTTTATAGCCTTTAAAATCTTTTCCTTCTCTTTCTTTCACTAGCTTTCTCTTTCTATATTTTGTATAATTTTTTCTTACTGGTTCATTTAAATTTTTTCTATATTTTTCTTTGTATTTTTTCTCCATTTGGGAGATAATTTTTTTTCTTAAATTTTCATTCCTGTTTTCAATCATTTTGTAACATTTTTTTGGGGTACTGGCTCCTCCTGTTAAACCCATTTCTTTCTCCTGCTCTTACCTGTTTGTGCGCGCTGTCTCCTATTACTGGCCCTTTTAAAAACAGGATATTCTGGCAGTCTTGTCTACTGAGCCACTTTATAAGAATAATGAACCTGTCATGGTTATAATGTACATTATACATACTGTGGTTGTGTATGCACACTTTAAAACTGGAGCTGTCCTGGACTTGCTTTACACAAGTAGTATGAGATCCTAGGACTTAGTTTTTGGAAGGGCCTTGTGTCCTCTCCAAATAAGGAGGGGATTTAAAAAAACACTAATATTTAATATACATATATGCATATTCTACTTAGCTATTTTGCCTTTTATTGTCTCACCTGTCACATCTTGGCCTTTGTTTTCAAAGGTACTTCCCTCTGATTCTTCTTTGTATTCATTTCTTTGCATTTTTTGCAAATGGTATGCAATTTTTTTCTCTAGATATGCTTGTTTCTAAAATATTAAAATATATTTAATATATTAAAATGCTTAGTATTAACTTGCCACTGGAATTGAAAACAGATATTTTAAATATGATGGTGTATTTGAATTCAATCAATATTCTTGTCTGGAAATTCCTAATGTCACCTAAGTACAAAGTTAGAAAGATAGAAAGATAGTAAGAAGTAAGGACCACCTTTTGTTGTCCAGCATAAGTGCTCTACCACTGAGCTAACCCCCAGCCTAAGAAAATATTTTAATAACTAGGGCCAATTTAATTCATTGATCATTTTCTGCAGATTATTCCCACTTCAGCCCTTGAAACTCAGGATTAGGCCACACTTGGTTTCTCCATCAGTAGCTGGCCTTGTGAGTGTAGGCCACTTCTGACAATACTTTAAATTATCAAAAATGGCAAAAACCTTTCCTCAAACAGCTCAAGTGTTTGGCAAAACCTCACTACCTTCTGAGCAATTCTGTCTCTGATTTTCTGACATTGTTCATCAACTTTCACGTCTCTTTTTGCTTCTTCTCCAATCTTTGTCATAAGTAACATTTCTTTATTTTTCCATTCCTGAAGAGTACAATGTTACAGTCATAAGCATGGATTCTCTTTTACCAAATTTTTTAGTACGTATTTTTTTCTATCTCCCACCAATAAGCAAATTAGATTAAATCAATGGTATAACAGAAATCGAGTCAATCATGATGAAAATCTTGCACTGACATTCGAATGGGCTTATTTTGATCCTTCACTGGGGATATGTTAGTGAATTTGTGGATGCAATGGAATGGCAAAATGAATTTTTTCTTCTTTTTTGTGGTACTGGGTATTGAACCCAGGGTCTTTGCACTGAGGTACCTCCCTAGCCCTTTCATTTTATATTTTGAGGCAGGGTCTCACTAAGTTGCTAAGTAGTCTAGACTGGGTTTGAATTTGTGATCCTCCCACCTAAGGCTCCCAGAGTGCTGGGATTACAGAAGTGCACCACCAGACCTGGTTTATTTTGCTATTACTGTATAAGCTTAATTCAAGTATAATCCTGGCTCCAGAGGTGCATCTACAAGGAAACAGACAAAAGGGTTTCCATTTCTAGATGCAGAGGATCCATCAGCTGAAATCTGCTGCTCTTAAAATTCATTTTGACAGAGAAAATAAATAAATAACAGCCCTGTCTGAGTTTGGGGGGAATAAGAATGCATGATTATTTTTTCCTACAGCTAAATTACAAAATTTTAAAAAGCAGATAAAATGTGACTATGTCAGGGATATGTAACTTGTGGTATCAGTCTATTTTAATTAAAAGCTTGTTCATAACAGGGATAAAAGATTAACAGGGGTTTATGTTTTAGAACTGTAATAACTTCAACTAATATAGTGAGACTGTTAAAATGCTTATAAATAAAACACCCATATAATCCCCTCTAATATTTAACCCTAATATTTAAAATGTGGTGTTCTTCACCTCCTCAATTTGTCCATGTAGATTAAGTTTTCATCTTATGTGGTCCTGATATAGTCTTTTTCTTTCTTCATCTGGAGCATACTCAGGTTTTCTGTTGTGTCTTCAGTCTTGTCTATTTCCTTACTAATCATATCTAAATATCTAAGTAAAAATGCAAATATAAGTGAAGATAAATTGGATGTCTCCTTTATGATAGCAGTATCTGCCTTGATATTTCCAAATTACCTGGTTGGTTGCTTCTTTTTTTTATTTTCTGAATTACAGGAAATTGAGTTATTTGGGAACCTTTGAACTAGCCCACCAACTCACCATGATATACTCATTTCACCAGTATGTTACAGAATTCTCAGATATTGTAGCTAGGATAATGACAAAATGTAGAATAGAGTGATTAAGGGAATTTATTCATAATTCAGTGGTCTGGGGAACATAACTTTCCAAAGATGGCCAAAATCAACTCAAAGATTGATTTCAGAAAACCAAATGATTTGAATTTTCCTGATAAATAAGGGGTACTGGCCTCCCTGAACAACCTTTCATCCACACAGAGGATCAGACTGGCCATAAGGATGAACAGAATCCTGCAGATTCTCAGCCTGGGACTCCTGTGGATCAATATGCATTCTGGCATATTGTGAGATGAATCCATGGAATATAAGAGTCAGATGATGGGGAACTGGTCTCCACCTCTGATGAAGGAGAAAGAAAAAGAACTATAACTCATACCTTTACCTCCTGAGGCATGGGCTTGGCCTCTGAATGATAACACTGAATGTGTGTAGTAGCAGCTGCAGGAAGGCCTCTTCCCTAGCCTTGGTATCAAGGTCCCCCAGCCCTCTACCTCTTGATCTACCTTCTCTCCACATGGTGTTCTGTGGGGGGTGGTATCTAGTTTATGCTGTATTCAAGTAAGTCTTTCTAGTATTTTTACCGTTCTTGGGGGTCCAGAATATGTCCATACAATATGCTTAGCTTTGCCCATACCTGCGTTTTATTGCCTGCTCTTGGTCTGGAGTTGTCTGTGTTCCTTTCTGTAGCATTCTTGGAATTTTGCAGCATCACAATTGTCATAGACTTTTTGGCCTTCATGCAGTTTGTTTACAAGAATCTTAATAATTCTCTGAAAGAAAAAAGTATTAAAGTTTTTATATTTTCCAGAAATAAACCCAGCCTTTGATATACCTAGAACTGTATTTTGCAAATGATTAATACTGTTAACCTGCATTTAAGCCATGTGGCTCCATTTCAGATAAATAAAAAAATTTCTCTGAAAATGAAAAAGCAAATGTCTCACTTTATCTTTTATAGATCCATTTAGGGATCTTATTTGACTTGTTACTTTAATATTTTTATGTTGGAATATCTTAAGCAAGTAATCTGCGTAAGAACAAACCTTATATAAAAATATCTTATAAGTCTGAAATAAAACAAATTGAAGTACTTACATGTTCTCTTATATATTCTCTTTCAAAGTCTATTTTTAAACTGGTCAGATATTGCTGGTACTTATTAAATTCACTCAAAGAACATATGACCTACAAAAGCCAAAAATATAAATACAAATTTGTAACAATCATAACACTTTGCAGAACATTTTGGTAACAATTTGGGGATTAAGTCTAATAATTATTTTATTAGCAATTTTGAAGGCACTATCTCTGTATAATTGTTTTATCACCAGGAAATTTCTGTCTAAATAATACTATTTCATTAGTAAATCTCACACCATAGTCAAAAATTTACTATTCCCACACAAATTGTTATTGAAACAAAACACCAACATAATGATGTTATCATACCATGCAAATAGTTTATTTCATCAAGGTGTTTACTGGTAAAATCCATTTTGTCTCTAGTTTTCCCAAAGAGTTTTACAGCCAGGGGAAAGGCACTACAATATGTCTGGGGGGGGGGGATAAATACATACTGGTAAATAAATACATGTGTGTGTTTGTGTGGTCTTTACATACTCAAAGTACTTAGTAATTATCTTTCACTGTTTTTAAAGAAAAATGATTAAGTAGGCAATAATTTTAGCAAAAACAGCCACCTGATTTTCCCTGACCCAAATACTGAGTCATTCATTGAGTTTTTTATTAGGTAGCCTCTATTGCTCAACTAAAAGTTGACACAGGTTCCCAGTGAGGCACAGAAGCAAATATCTACCAAGTCCCCAGGTTTTTGGTGATTAACAGGAAGTAGTAGGCCTCAACACACTTTATTATTGCTGGTGATGAACCCACCTCTTCTTAATCTCCTCAGCATACCTTTTCGCTGGTAGCATGTTTTTAAGTGTGGATCGTGAAGGCTTTTATAGGTTGTTTCCAAAAGCTGGCAGTAAGGATCAGCAAGGTTAAACCCCAAAGAAGGTTGATAAAGCTGCAAACAAATAAATGCAAAAATATGACAAATGCAAAGTGAGTGAAGTAATACGTTTACACATCAATTTGTTGAAATGATTAAGATGTTCACTGAAAAATAAACCATGCTAGCAGAATCTGAAGTGAGAGAACACAGACAATGGGATGACTTGGGCAAACCTGTTGCTTTTGTCTTTGTCTTCTCGCCCAGACTCATCTTGTGGCTGGAGGTGGCCTGTGGAATTCCAATTTGTGAATAGCTGGCCGGTAGCCTCAACCTCAATCCAGTTTCTGAGCAGAGGTTGTGACTGACGGTCGAGAAGGAGAGGACAATGCATGCCAGGTTTTGGGCACCAGATAGGCAGGCACAGAAGTAGGAATCAGCACGGCATGTGTGAGTAGGCAGAAAAGACCCCAACCTGCGCAGCAGGAGCTTTAGATGGAGAAAAGGCAGAATGGGGATCTGGATAGGGCAGCTGAGACATCCTGGGGCCTTCTATCATTAAAAAGTGAGTTTTAGAAACAAATGCCCCAACTCATTTAACCCCAGCTGGTGTGTGAAATTGAAGTCACAATGCATAACCATACCAAAATGTTTCAAGTTTAATAGCAAGCTTAACGGGGTATAAAGAATCACTTACACACTACTAAAACTTAGTTTACCTTTTCACTTATATTTGTAGTATAGAATACATTAGTGCTTCCTGGCAAAACAGGCAGCTTGACCCCAAGAGGCAGATCCAACAGGCGAGCCACTCCAATTTCTGGAACTGGGTGTTTCTGTGGGCTCTGTCAGACACAATTGGAAAGTTTGTCTCTTCTGCTGGCAGCTATTCATTTACTTTGGCCTATCTATTCACATTTCAATGTGCTAATACCTCCACATTAATCAAAGTATCACACAAGTTGAAGTGACTCGCCTGGCTAACAAACCAGAAAGCTTCCCCTCTTCTCCAGGTCACCAGCCCAACTTCTGGGTCCCGCCCAGGACTCATCCTGGCTAGGGGCTGCCCTGAGCCAGGATGTGGGAAGCTGAACTATCAAAGATCTACTCCATTCCCTCCCCTCCTTAGTCAAGATCTCTGTCCCATGGGTCCGTCTAGGGGCCAGGAGGAGGACGCAATAGTGGCTGCCATTCACTGTGCTACATTTTTTCCCTGCATTTAGGCTGTTGGCAGCTGCCTTGGTGGTGGCAGCTTTCCCAGTCTTACAGCAGCTGTGGAGGTATAGATCCATGGCCACCCATCGACCACCGGGAGACCGGGGCCTGGGGTGGCGGGCTGTCCTACTCTTCAGCGCACTCTTCCCTCTTTACTCTAAGCAAGTCTGGGCAGCCTGGGGCAACGCCTTCCCTAGGACACGCCCCTCACAATGCTGCGTTCCAGGCTGCTGAGCTGACGTCCTCAACAGGCGTCACTCCAGCGGACGTCAACTCAATGGGCGTCATCTTCTGGGGTCTGGTGGGCCACACTGGGAGAGAAGATAGCGGGAATCTTGTTGCCTCCCCAGATACGCATGCACACGACCCAAGACTAGAGGCTTTAGCTTTCCAAGAATTGGGAATGTGGTCCGAAGTGCCAGGTATAAGAGAACAACAGCCAGTATTTCATATCTCTCTGAAACCAACAGCTCTTCATTTTAACTAAACCAGAATGTATCAGGCTTTGTCAGTGGGTAACTGGTTGTAGTTCCTCCGATTCTTCTGAGTCTCCAAGAAGCTACTGTTTGTGTTTAACAAAGGTCCAAGTGCATGAGTAATTGTGTAGTTTTTCTTAGGGTCAAAGTCCTGGCTTTGCACATTTACTCTCTTTATAGACACTGTGACCTCTCTTCTTCTAAGCATACAACCCTCCAGTCTTACTTTAGGACACTTCGGTTTCATTAAATCAAATATTAGAGACTAAGAAGTCTCTGAAAGAAAGGATGTATTGAGCGGTTGCAGATCTAGCCAAAGGTGCAAGGACCAGTCCTGGGACAAATTCTCTAAACCACCAGTAGTGTAGCCAGATTGCAGTTGGAAAAGTGCCCACTGTCTCCAAGGGGTTAGGGTGCCTTACAATACAATTTTTGGGAAGAAAAAGCATAAATCATTCACACTGAACCTAAATAGGCTGTAACTAAGGGACAGGACAAGGCCATGCAGGCAAAGTCCTGGGACAGAAGGTTAATGCATAAAGAGAGATTTTTGGTACTACTTGGTTGTGTCTAAAAGCCAAATGCAGTGTGGCCTGATGGGAAATTTCTAGCATACAGGAAGGGAATGTGAAACAGTTACTTTTTTCTTTTCCTTGTTGATGTAGCTTGAAACAATCAGTTAAAATTACCTTACCTTACCTTTCTCCCCCCTACCCTCTGGCCTGTAATGTAATTTAGGACACCTCAGAATTCTTAGCAGTTTTTTCAAGCACTCAATGCCTTCCTTCTTGTCTTGCTGGTCCCTATCTTGGGCTCTTCAACTTTTGCACTTTCCTCTTCCTCTTTTATTTTTTCTTCCTATCTTCTCATTCAATTGGCCAACGTTTATTGAGTGCTTGCTCTATGCCAGACACTGTGCTGCATACTGAGGACACAATGGTGAGTAAAACATATTCTCTGCCACCAAGGAGCCCACTAGACAAAAAATACATGACAGAGTGAGACTACATCTGACATGTCAGGAATTTGTATTTTGTCTCCATGCTGTGTCTGTCTGCCTATCTAATTTATATACATATAAACTCAAGACACATCATGAACTTCTGAAAACTAATGACAAGAAACAATCTTGAAAGCAGCCAGATATAAATGAAACATTACTTATAGTCAAAAACCAATTTGAATGAAAGTACTTCTCATCTGAAACTGTGGAGGCCAGAAGGAAGAGTATGGCATTTTTCAAGTCTTGAAAGAAATGAGTTGTCAACTGTGAATTCTATATCTAGTTAAAATATCCTTCAAGAATGAAGAAGAAATATAGACAGTCTCTAGCAAATCTGACCTTAAAGAATGAGTAAAAGAAGCTCTTTAAGCAGAAAGAAAATGAAAACAGAAGGCTTAAAACTTCAAAAAGGAAAACAGAGCATCAGACTGGGTTTAAAACAGGGATAAATATAAGAGTATCTTATTCTTCAAACGTTTCTTAAATATTTTATGCCTGAAGCAAAAAGTACAGGAAAATCTGATGTGGTGGTTAGTGTATGTAAAGGAAATATAAGACAACATATTTCAAAAATGAGGCATGTAAAGGGACATAAATGAAAGTAAGGTTTCTACACATCATTAAAAGTGGGGAAATATTAATACTAGTAAATTTTGGTAACTTCTAGAGCAGCCATTAAGAAAACTATACAAAGAGATATATTAAAAACATTGTAAATACATCAAGGTGGAATTCTAAGGGTTGAAGTGTAGCTCAGTGGTACCACACTTGCCTGTTATGGGTGAGGCCCTGGGTCGCACCCTCAGCACTGCTAAAGTAAATAAATAAGCCAGTAAATCAATACAATAGAGAAATAAAAAGATAGACTTCTAAAAATGCTCAAGTAATGTCAAGGAAGGCAAGAAAAGGAACAGAAGAATCAGATATTAAGGAAACAAATAGAAATAAATAATAAAATGGCAGACTTAAGCACTGAAATACCAGAAATTACTTTAAATGTAAATGGTCTAAACCTGGTAGTTAAAGGACAGAGATTGGCAGATCAATGAAAAACATGATACACCTATATGTTGTCTACAAGAGGCGCACTTCAAATACAATGAAATATATAGGTTGAAAATAAAAGGATGGGAAAAGGTATTCAAAGCAAATATTAATTTTGTAAAAGCAGGAGTGGCCATATTAATATCAGATTAAGTAGACTTTAATTGTTAGAGACAAAGAGGAACATTACATTATGAAAAAGATCAATCCACCAGGTAAATAATGATTCTAAATGTACATACACCAAAAATAGAGCCTCAGTAGGGCATGGTGGTGCATACCTGTAATCCCAGCACTTGGGAGGCTGAGGCAGGAGAATTGCTGCAAGTTCGAGGCTAGATTGGGCTACATACTGAGTTCAAGTTTAGCCTGAACTACACAGCAAGACCTTGTCTCAAAACAAAAATAGAGCCTCAAAATACATGAAGCAAAAATAATAGAGGTAAAAGGAGAAATAGACAATCCCCAATTATAAAGTGAGGTATACTAAACACCTATCAACAGGAGACTGGATAAATAATTTTACGGCATTCATATCTACTCAGCAGGTTAATTGAAGACTTAGTGCTACATATATTAGTGTGTAATTCAAAAACATAACATTGAAGCTGGGCGTGGTGGCCCATGCTTGTAATCCAGGAGCCTGCAGAAGGAGGATTGCAAGTTCAAGGCCAGCCTGGGCAATTTAGCTAGATTCTGTTTCAAATTAAAATAAAAGGGCTGAGGATATAGCTCAGCATTCTCTTGGTTCAATCCCCAGTACTGGAAAATGAACAAATAACACAGCATTGAGCAAAAATAGAAAACTGAAAACCAATATAATCTATTTGAAATTTGAATCAAGTTTATGGATACTCACTTATGTAGTAGTAAGGGAATAAATCATGAAGGGATACGAGGAAGATTGACTTCTTTCATATTTTATTTCTCAACACCAAGTCTGGCTCTTCTTCACCCTCTTTCTTCCCTTTACCTTTCATTCTCTTCCCATCTCTTCTAGAATAATTCAGTACTAAAGTCAACGGTGGGGACATCATAGATGTCCATGCAGAGGGGTGGTTCTGGATGCAGATGCTCAACTGGAGTAAGAAGAGGGACCAGAGATGGAGGCAGATTGGAATGGACATAGAGCTTCAGGAGAGTGAGAGTTCCCCATGGGGGATGGTTGATGTAAAGAATCAGAACTCAGGAGGAGAGGAAACATCCATGTTTATGAGTAGCCTAGTATGGAGTGTTAGTGCCCAGTGTCAATGAGAGGATCTACATAGAAAGGAGGTCTAGCATGAGATTCAGAGAATGAGTAGGATGAGGGTGTTATCATTGTGTGGGACAGCATGGAATGTATTAATTTCCTAGGGCTTCTATAACAGAGTACCACAAACTATGTGTCTAAGATCAAAGTGTTAGCAAGGTGCTCTCCCTGATACCCATACGGGAGTCCTTCCTTGTCTTTCCCTAGATTCCGGAGGTTTGCCAGCAAACATTGGTATTCCTTGGCTTGCAATCATATAACTTCAATCTTTGCATTTTTTAGTTAATTTTATTGATACACTTGATATACTTAATGATCACGTCCATCATAGGAAATTTGTACCTGTACATAATATACTTTGATTCTTCCCTTTTTCCCATTTCTCTCCCCTCCCTTCAAGTTTTGTTCCACTCCTTATTTAAAAAAGTTTTGTTTCCATTTTCCTATTCTCCTTTCTTCCCTTTTCCCTTCCCTGTCACCCCTCCCTTGTTCCTTTTCCCATTTGAACGTTTTCTCCCTGCTTCCCAATTTGTATCATCCATTTTGGTCCTTATTTACCCTTTTGGTTTCTCACACAAGAGAAACAATGCAATATTTAAACACGTGTGTCTGATTATTTCACTTAAAAGTATGGTCTTAAAGGTGCATCTATTTACCTAAAATGTCTCAAGTATATCCTTCTTTATGGCAGAGTAGTACCCCATTGTATGTAAAAACCACATTTTCTTTATCCATTCATCTGATGATGGGCATTTGAGCAGTTTCCAAGATTTAACTATTACAAATTGTGCTGCTATAAACAGGGATGTTCATACAATGCTGTGGTATGATGCTCATAACTCTTTTGGGAAATTTTCAAGAAGGGGAATAGCTGGGTCAAATAGAACCTCTAGTTTTAGCTTTTTGAGGAATCTCTATATTGATTTCCATATTGGTTGGACCAATTTACACTCCCATCAACAATGGAAAAGTGTTTCTTTATTTTCACAGCCCCGGCAGCATTTGTTATTGGTTGATTTCTTGATGACAGCCATTCTTTCCGAAGCGAGATGAAATCTCAGTGTTGTTTTAACTTGCATTTTTTTTCTCTTTTTTCTTTTTGGTACCAGGGATTGAACTTGGGACTTTGTGCTTGCAAGGCAGGCAGCGGCACCACTGAGCTAAATCCCAGCCTTGCATTTCTTGAATGACCAGTGATGCTGAATATTTTTTCATATATTTATTTGCTGTTTGTACTTCTTCAGTTGAGAAGTCCATTTTTAGATTGGGTCTTTAAATTTGGGGGTCTGATTTTTTTTTGAGTTCTATATATATTCTAGATATTAGTCCTATGTCTGAGGAATAACTGGTAAAAATGATTTCCCTTCATGCATTTTGTCTCTTCACTCTGT